TGTGTAGTTTGGTGGGGGGGTGGGGGGGGGGGGGGGGGGGGGGGGGGTGTTAAATCTGCAAGCACCCAAAAAGAGTAGTTTAAAAACAAGATGTGGGAAAGCATATTGTAGCCCATTATAGTTAACTTTTCTGCTTACTGTCCTAGCCATATAGCTTTAATTATTATTTTTTCGTGAGGTGGGGGGGGAGCCCTACTTAAAAATAATCTTTAAAAATGTGGAGTTTAATTTTTAGCTTTAATGTCATATGATAAGTAAAACATATTACTGTGGTATTACATTATGTCAGGGTAAATGATCCCTTACCATTCAAAATAGATTGCACAAACAGGTAAACAACAACCAAACATGTCTACCACTTTCATTGGCAGATCCAAGCTGCTAGATGATTTATGAAGACAAACACCCAAATCCGCTGAGCCTACAAAGTAAGGACACAACTTGGCTTAATATTTCTGTCAACTGCTCTCAAGATTCGTTACATAATCTGTTTTAAAAATGCTGTAGTGCTATTAAATAAAATTATTTGGAATGTCAGCTGTATCAGTTTGATTTGAGGAGGTATGTAAAAATTATATAATCTACTTTTGTTATGAAGAGCAGTTAGGATTGAGAAAGAAACAAGAATAACTGGTGTTAAAATAGTAGAAAGAAGAAATTTAAAAAGTAGAACATCTTGAACATTCAATCTATTCTGTCCCCCAAACCTTCCTATCAATTAGAAATCATGCAGAAATAATGAAAATTAAATCCCTTACAATGCTGTAGAAGTGATCGGTTAGATGGCCACTAAAACCTCTTCCCATCCAAATGACTTTACAACATAGTAGGAAAATGTAGGGTCTCAGTTTATAGAAATATGATTATTTACAAAGCATGACAGATGTGCATGACATTTTATAGCCATCTCAATTGACATTCCTTATCCTAAGGAGCTTAAATCAGGTAGAACTTGTACTATTTTATGCTTACATGGCTTTTAGTAAGATTAAATAAATCAATCTGCTAAGGAATAGAAATATTCTATTTCCTTTAGAATCTCTTCAATTATCTTTGATTTCTTAGCTAAAACTGAACTGTATTTATTTAACTGCACATGAGAATGCACTGGAACAGAAACTAGCCCACTGTATTTTAGCATCATTAGAAGAACAGCAGAGTGCAAACAGTAGCTGGTTTAATACACCAAAGTAGATGCTTGTAAGACCCCATAATTGAATTCCACCCCGTGTTCCCAGAAGGAGGAGGAAAAGCTGTGCAATTTGAAAAATTAATTGATTTCTCAGGTATAACAAACAACAAAACTGATATAATTAGTTTGCTTTTAATTTGCCTGCAGTCTTGCTAGATCTGTCACCAACTGCAGCTTAACAGTTACCCATAGTCTTTGCATAAGCCTCAGACACTGTTCTCATTTCCATGTAAAGATTTTTCAGTAACTGTAAATCCATTATTTACCAAGCAGAAGAGGGTAATCCTCCGCTTCAAGCCAAGGGGTACAGATCTGGATGTGTTTAAAGTGCATTGCATCTATCAGTCTGTTGTAGTGTTCCTTCAGAGGCCCTTTGCCTTTATAAACAGAAAATAAACCCACAATATTTTAGTGTTCTGACTGTGATTAACCTAAACCTGCATAATAAAGGTTAGTGTTGCAGCATAACTCTCATTTGTGTGTTTGAAGAAGGGATTATGTCCATCTTTCTCAGGCTTGGCATAAAAGGGCTTGGCATAAGTCTCCAGTCCAAACTGAAATTCCTGAGTGCAAACCATAAGATAATATAATAATCACCTAGAAGATGGCATACTCTATTAGTACAGCATCCGTTAGCATCATGCTGAGTTGTTAGTTCAG